AGGCAGCTGACTACAGGCCAAGTTCAACTGAAACAATTCTTTCAGTGTTTTACAGTGCAGAGAACATACACTATTTCATTGAAGCCTCGAAACCTACAGCATGTAGATAGGAGACCCAAACAATACATTATGTAGGTTTTCTTTCCATTTTTTGAGAAAACATCCAAGAGTCCAAAAACATGAGAAAAGAATAATACCCACAAGAATTTTAAGCTTAAAGGGGGAAGGGTGATGTTATGATTAAAGCACAGGACTCAGAGTCACAAACATAGGCTCTGTTCCTGGCTGTGGCAAAGACTCTATATGAAGTTTGGGGTAAGTCCTTAAGGACCCAATAATGCGACCCTGACTTATGAGAGAAATACCACTTAAATCAATGAAATTTTTCATTGGAGTAAAAATTACATGTATTAATGAAGATAGCATGATCATGCCTTAATCTCAGTTTTCTAATGTAATTTATCCTGAAGGACTAGCCTAGCACAGCCAACCCAGGCTTGGGGAATACAAAGGTAGTTTACAACCACACTTGTACCTTCCCTCCCTGCACCTTTAGCTGTAGCTGAAGATATATGGGCCATAGTATCTAGGACTTACTTGACTATTTCTCAGTTTCCTTTCCTAGTGGTAAAATGTCTGATACATGTTTAATTATAGTAAAAAATAGGGGTAATATAATAGGGGCAGGCTTAGGTGACAAATAGGTAAATGCTGTGAAGGCTTGGGTGCAAATGTGGGTTCAGTTAAAAAAAAAAGAAATGAAATTAGAAGGGAGTAGATAAAGACATCTGAAATAATTGTTCTGTAGGATATGGCCTTTCCACATAGGCAGATTGCTTTCTCTTCACTTCTGTCTGAAGAGAGTCAAATAGAGAATCTCGTTTCTTAATTAGAAAGAAAAATACTCATCAAACACACCTCATCACTGGAAAGCTAATGATCCACAGCTGCTAGCCTGAAAGGGCAGGCTTTTTTTTTTCCTGAACAGTAGGAAGTGTTAATCATTTTGGATGAGATTTCTTTTTAAAATACTATAGTTTGCAAAAGAATAGGATATTCAATATTCCAACTTAAATTATTTTTTGAAGTGTGGTACACTAGGGTAGTATCACGTGTCTCACTGAATAATCATTTTATGCATATATATCTCACTAAGGGTATCAACTGGTGTGATGTTGTAACTGACGGGTTCATGCCTATGCTCTTGAAATCCTTGTCAGCAGGGGGAAAGGAAGGAAAAAATCCTCCTGTGTAGTATCCTATGCAGGAAATGGCAGCTATATTAAACTGTAACCTTTGGGACACCCACTCCTCCCTTAAAATAGTTGGCTTGTTTCAGTAGTAATGAAGATCCTTTTTTTTTCTTTTAAGCTTGAGAGGACCCATTATTTCTTTAGAAGAGATCATAGCAGATATAGTCCATTGGATGTTTTACAGGTATGGGTAGGGCCCAGGAACCTTTCATCCTTCTTCCTTTTCTTTTCCACCTGTTTCATTCTTGTATTATCTGTACTTGTTTAATGGAGGAATATGTAGTTTCCCTTCCCTTTCATGGGTGAAATGAAATTAAAGGAATAGATTCACATACACAGCTTTTTCTTTTTTAAATAGTTGTAAGATGCTTTGTCTGTGGGAACTGAAAAATACCCCTATTTTTTTTTCATCATTTTGCCCCTGATATTCATGTATGTTAGTCTCTTTCTAATATTGGGAGTTTTTAGTTTGTTGCATGTCTTATTTATTGTGCATTTTTCTAATGGCGGGGTGGGATAGTGAAGCAGATTGAGCTGCAGTCCTATCACTATGCTGATTTCCCATAGCCATTCATTTCATTTTCATAGCAAATGTGGTGTTCTTGCTTTACTAGTGTCTGACTGAGACAGGTGTTTTAATGAGAAAACTGGTTGAAGCTCATCCCAGACAAGATGGAAATAGTGCTGGTGGGTCAGGAAAATCATTTAAACGAGATGGCAATGTATATCTACTCTTTGTATTCATTGGAAATGTCTGCGTATTGTTAAAGGTTTCTAGCCTAAGAGTCCTTTGTTTTCATGCATGGATTCAGAGCTTGCAGCAGTAACCAATAATGCTTGCTTTCATTTGCATCAAATTAGGAGCTTACACCCTTTCCCTCCACATGTGGGCTTTGCCATAGTTAACTATGTCTGTCTTCTTACTAGAGTGCATTATTATAGTGAACTCTGCTTGGGACTACCCTTGAAGACCAGGAGCACATTACGTCTGTATTCCATAGACGGAACTGGTCACCAATTTGTTTCAGGGTGTTGTTTTTATTCTACAAAGCCATATGCAGTTGGGTCTTTCTTTAGAAATTACTTCTCTCCATCTGCCGGTCACCAGATTTAAAATTAAGGGTAGAGACATCTGCAGGCAGGGGCAGTTCACAACAGGCAGTCTCTGGAATTTGTTTTCCCCTGTCTGTCAGAGTTTACTTCCAGAGCTCCTATCGAAGTCTACAAAAATGATTGGAGGTATGGAATGGCTTCCATATGAGAAGAGATTAATAAGATTGGGACTTTTCAACTTGGAAAAGAGAGGACTATGGGGGAGGTGTGATAGAGGTCTATAAAATCATGACTGGTGTGAAGAAAGTAAATAAGGAAGTGTTATTTACTACTCATAACACAAGAACTAGGGGCCACCAAATGAAATTAATAAGCAGCAGGTTTAAAACAAACAAAAGAAAGTATTTTTTCACACAACGCACCATCAACCTGTGGAACTCCTTGCCAGAGGATGTTGTGAAGGCCAAGACTATAACAGGGTTCAAAAAAGAACTAGATAAGTCCAGGGAGAATAGGTCCATCAATGGTTATTATCCAGGATGGGCAGGGATGGTGTCCCTAGCCTCTGTTTGCCAGAAGATGGGAACAGGCAATGGGATGGATCACTTGATGATTACCTGTTCTGTTCATTCCCTCTGGGGCACCTGGCAGTGGCCACTGTTGGAAGACAGAATACTTGGCTAGATGGACCTTTGGGCTGACCTAGTATGGCCGCTCTTATGTTCTTACCTATTCACTCAAGCCTTTTTCTGAGCGAATAGAGGTGAGTTTCTTTTCTGAGCTGGAGATTCATGTTTTAAGCTGACTTGAGTTGATCTTGCTAAATCACACTCCTGTAAATGTTCCTCTCAAAATGTATGTTAGTAAATCCTTAGAAGAATTCTCTCATAAGTAATTCTTACAGATCTCTGGAATTCTCTTAAAACTTGTTTCTTATTCAACACTACTTCTAATAGATTTCCTTTTAAACTAAATAACCTGAACAACATACAGATTTCCCAAATGCAGTAATGAGTATCAAAAGTGCCAATACCCCTTTAATTGTATGATACCACATAACACCTTTCCGTTGCAAAAATTTCAATAGCTATCAAGCTTGTCCTGCAATCTCCCAAGACATTCATATACAGGCCATTTGGTGGCCGTAGGACGGAAGAAGGCAAGTTAATTGATCTGGTAGTGTGGATTTCTTAAAAATGTAGGTTTTTACACTGGTATTTGCATTAGTCTTTTATGATCCGATGTTCTGTTTTGGCTCTATTAAACATAATCCTCAATTTTAAGGGATTATTAAAATCCCTTTTTAGTTCTTGATCAAACCAAAATGTACCTAAAGTATAGGAATGAGAAAAAGGAGCCATTTTTTAGTTTGAGTTAGTACAGCGGTTCTCAAACTGTAGGTCAGGACCCCAAAGTGGTTCGTGACTCAATTTTAATGGGGTTACCAGGGCTGGTATTAGACTTGCTGGGGCCCAGGGCTGAAGCCCGAGCCACACCGCCTGGGACCAAATCAAAGCCAGAGGGCTTCAACCCTGGGTGGCAGGGCTCAGGTTACAGGCCTCCTGCCTGAGGTAGAAGCCCTTGGGCTTCGACTTTGGCCCACCTGCACGGGGTGGGGCTCGGGCAGCCTCAGGCTTCGGTCCCTCCTCCTGGGGTCATGTAGTAATTGTTGTTGTCAGAAGGGGGTCACGGCACAATGACATTTGAGAACCTCTGCTCTAGTAGCTATGTTTTGGTTTGGGTTTGCCATAGTTCTGGGACACTGCACTTGATTAATTTTAGAAAGCAGAAGAAATGTAAGGAAGTGCAAGGCTTGAATATAGTATTTGGAAGAAAAGCATGTAGTGTTACCAATACATGATGCTGAAGACTGGGAGCAGGTTCAGCAATAGTATCGTTTACCATAGTATTTTCAGCTACCATTTTTGTCATGTGAGAGGAAAATCAAGCAAGTAATTTTAGATCGCTTAATTCTAGAGTTTTAAAAATGTTAGTTGTGAGAGCTGGAAGTCTATTACAAGAAGAGAAAAATCTCAACAAATACACCTCTACCCCGATATAACGCTGTCCTCAGGAGCCAAAAAATCTTACTGCGTTATAGGTGAAACTGCGTTATATCGAACTTGCTTTGATCCGCCGGAGTGCGCAGCCCCCCCCCTCCCCCCGGAGCACTGCTTTACTGTGTTATAAATGAATTTGTGTTATATCAGGTCGCGTTATATCGGGGTAGAGGTGTATGTGTACAAGTGTCATCTTGTTCACCTTTTCTTTAGTATTTTTAGCTGAAAGCTGTGCCCCAAAAAGACACTCTTAATAAACCCTGGGAATGTTTTTTGTTTGTTTGTTTGTTTGTTTTTTTAAGTTAAACAAAATCTTTATTAAAGTATTTCTGATCCTTTATTGTTATTGCTATTTATTCAAATATTTTCAAATTTTTGGAATGTTTTATATTTCCTTTTGTATATATTTAGTTTGATGCTTTATATCAAATTTGTCATGTCGCCACTGATTTTCAGAGGTGTAGTAGCTTTCAAACTTGTGGTTTCAGTTGCGCATTCAGCCACATTAACCAATCATTCCTGGTCTCTGTTCAGAGAGAGTGAGTGTGTTGTTTTGTTTAGATTTGTTTAATGTACTTCTCCTTACTTTGAATAAATTTAGAGTTTAATCATTTATCTCTCCTCTATCTTTTAGCTTTTTCTTTTTGTGGTTTGGAACTTTGAGCTCTACATGATTCCGCTTGCTTTGTTGTTACTGTTGGCATGGAACTATTTCTTGATCCTATCGGGGAAAGATAACACGCAACATGATACAGTAAGTATTTACTTTTTTAAGCACATACTTGTACTTGTTTTTTAACTTATACTAAGACAAGATTTTAAAACTGAATTTGTTTCAGAAACTGAATTTCTCTACTTAAATACAATGGCCTTTCAAAAACATTTCAGTTCATGATGCTTGATGGACAGTTCTTCCTAGCCATGATGGAACGTTTTTTCCAGCTGTTCAATAAATGTTTCTACTTTTGTTGAAACTAATTTTAAAAATGCATTAGAGCATGCTCTGTCCTCAAAGCTGGTGTGTATGTTTGGTTATTTTACTGGTTAGGGAAGGGCAAACAAATCTTTTGAAAACTGTTCGTGTGTGTGTGTGTAGCCCCGTTGAAAGCTTATAAAAACTATAGTCTGAAATTTTTTTTAGTTACTGAAATTAAAAAGTGCTGATTCTGCCAAAATTCCTCTCTTCCACTAAGAACTGCAGACTTGTCAGATGGCTTTCAAGATAGGTCACAAATCTTTACGTGATGGTCTTAGCTGAGCTCACTAACACGTATCATGTGGAAATTTTACAAAGTATCATCAAGAATATTTCTGCCTTCTAAATTACTACACAATGAAAAAAATAACTGATTAGTGAAGCAATGTGCTGTCTTGGATAGAGAATGTCCTGGAAATCGGAATATCTGGGTTCTATTTCTGGCTCTCGCAGTGACTTGTTGTGTGCCCTCAGTCAAGTCACTTAGTACTTATCTGTAAACTAAGCATATCCCCCACCTTTGTAAATTGCTTTGAGATTGTCAAGGTAAAGGTTCTGTAAATTGTAAGAGCAAAGTATATTTATTATTAATTAGTGTTTTTAAATGCTCAACTCCCAGCACATGAATTTATACTCATTAATAAAGAACTGTTATTTAAACTTGTCTAATATGAATGAAAAATAATCAGACACATTGGTAATCTTGAAAGGAGAACAACTGGGGAGTTCTTTGTGATTTTTAATACCCCTACTACATGCCAATCTCAATTGTCTAACCAACTGAAGCATAAGAGACTGTACTCTACTGCAGATCAATGAAATAATTTGCTGAGTAGATATCTGGATATGAGAGATGAACCAACCTTAAGTCATCCTTCTTAGAATATTTTTGCAGCACAGGAATCATTTTCTCTGCCCTCATAGGTGCCAACCCTTTTGTAGTACATTGGTGCTTATTCTGTTGTGACATAATCCTTTCTTCTCTTGTCAGATGATCTGAAGAATTTTGTTACAACACAAGTCACACCCAGATAATTTGTGTGTGAGCTAGGTTAACCTGCCACTTAGTCTGGCTTTTGATAAATTGTAAACACAATGAGTTTGGGAGGTTAAATTCTAGTTCCTACATAATTCTTTGGCATATGATACTGGTCAGTTTCTGCTCAAAAGACCCACAGATTAGTATATACAAACATTGCAAATCTGCTGTGAACTAAAATGCCAAGGGGGTAGGCAGGCTAATATGTCCAATCATAAATGGATGCTGACTTGCTTCCATTTCATGCACTCATACACAACATCTTTATGGTTGCTGGTTCACTTGAGAGTACTGCCTGTCTTGTCATTGTCTCCAGCTCTACCTTCTGCTTCCCCTAACACCTTGTTTGATTACTTTCCTATCACATGGCAGTGGTGAATTATCACAGAGTTGCTATGTTCCAACACTGAAGAAGGAACTTTTCTCTCAATGCTTCAGCGGACAGGGCTGGAGCTAGATGTTTTGGTGTCCTTGGCAAAATTACATATATGCACCCCAATTTTAATTCATTATCACCAACCCTCAACTCCATCTGACTTGCATAGGTTTTCTTTAATAATTATTTTCCCACTAAACCCCACAAAAGTGCCCTTGTTGTACTCCTTTGTTCTTGTTCTCCAGATGATGACACTCCTTGCATCCCTCCTCCTTTCCTGTGATGAAAGATAGGGGAGACAGGGCTTCAGCTTTTTCCTTGAGTCTTGCATGGTAGCAGATTGACAATTTTACTTCAGGAGTACTGGGCGCTTCTGCAGGTGCAGGAGCCCAGAGCAGAGAAGTAATCTTGGTGGGACTAGGTGTGCAGAGAAGACAACAAAGGATCCCAAAGTAAAGTTGGCAGCAGGAGAAGTAGCCTGCTGGAAAAATGGAACTGCTTCCCCATTATATGGGCTCCTGTCTGAAGGGCACTGTCACTCTGGGGGCCTGTCACTGGTTACTCAGTGGCCAAAGGCCCACTTGCTTCATAGATTCTCTGATCAGGACTCTCATCCCCTGTCCAGGTGCTCTGCAGTTACTACCCCATGTTTATGCCCTACCAGCAGCTCATGCTGCCCTAGGGTCACCGCAGCAGACAGACATCCTCCTGGTTGCCCCATTGGCCTCCACTGGCTGTGTCACCAACACCTGTGCCAGCTTTGGCTAGGTTTGTCCTCCATGGTGGCACTTACCACTGTCCTGCCCAATGTCAATGATCACTCTGACATTTTCTTCTAATCCCAGAAGCTGCCACCAACATACACCAAGTAAGACCAAAGCAAAAATGCATCAGGAAGGGAGAAAGACTGGGGGAGGAAGAACTGCCCCCACTCAGAGTCAAGGACTCACAGCAGTAGCAACACTTCTTGCACCCCACCAGTAGGACAGCCATACTCCTGCGTTTACTCAGGGTAGTGGCTGCTGCAGTGCCTCCAAGGAGCAAGGAACTTTTCCCCAAAAGAATACACTAGGGTTACCATATTTCAGCAAGCAAAAAAGAGGATGGGAGGAGCCCCGCCCTAGCCCCGCCCCTGCCCCTCCCACTTCCCGCCCCCCTCAGAACCCTCAACCCTCCCCCCGTTCCTTGTCCCCTGACTGCCCCCTCCTGGGACCCCTGCTCCTAACTGCCCTCCAGAACCCCACCCCCTACCTAAACCTCCCTGTTCCTTGTCCCCTAACTGCCCCCTCCTAAGACTCCCCCACCCTAACTGCCCCCCAGGACCCTACCCCCTACCTGTACCCTGACTGCCCAAAACCTTCTCCACCCCCCCCCCAAGACCCCCCCCACGTACTCCCCCCCCCCCCCGTCTCTTGACTGCCCCCTCCAAAATCTCCCTGCCCCTTCTCCTGCCCCCTGGCCCCCTTACCCTGCCGCTCAGAACATGGTGTTGGGCTCTGTGCGGAGCCGGACACGTGGCTGCGCTCCCCAGCGCAACACACAACCCGGTCCCACCCCACCCAGTGCTGCCGGAGCGGGGCGCTGGGCAGCAGGGGAGGAGGAGCTGCCGAGGCCCGATGCGAACGGCCCGGCAGGCCGGCCAGCTCAGAATGCAGGGAAGGGGGGGTGGGGAGGAGGAGCTCTACAGCTGCTCCGGAGTCCAGCCCGGCAAGCTGCGGGGGAAGGGCTCTGGCTGCCAGAGCCCCATGCGAGCGGCTGAATTTCCTGCAGCCCTCCCAGCCGCGCCTCGCTCTGCATGGAGGGGAAATCCCGGACATTTTTAGTGATTTACAAATTCCCCCCCGGATGCTATTTTTAACACAAAAAGCAGGACATGTCCGGGTAAATCCGGAGGAATGGTAACCCTAGAATACACACAACTGCACCACCACAAATTCAGCACGTTAGGTAGTCACCTTTGTGGCCCACAGCTAAGGTTAGCCTTATCACTGTAGAGCTTCCACAGATTTAAAGAAACATTACGTTCTCCCATCTTTCTAAACAATCTTTCCACTTTTTAAACAATCCTGTTCAACTATTGTTAAGCAGTCTTTAACACTACACACATTTTTGCACCATTTTGATCTGCATAAAGAAGAATGAATATTAAATAAGTTATAGATGCAGATGAATCACATGAGCTTCACCATTTGTCCAGGTCATCTGCTTTAAGGAGGATTTTGTCCAGCTGATTCACTTGAATTAATAAAAATGAAAGGTGTAGACTTCTGTTCATTAGCTTTAGGTCTCATCTAAATGTGACTGTTTCCTTTTGCTAAGGCTGTGGTCCGAGTACTAGTGGTACTAGGGTCTCACAGCAATACATGTGGTCCAAACTAAGTAAACTTTTTACATCATGTCGTGACAATTGTAAAGTATCACAGAAAGAATCACTTTCTTTTAACACTGAATGAGGAACTTTAGTAGAATAAGTAAAATAGTATTATTCTTAGTGCTTTTCTTTCTCTCTTTCACTGCAAAGGTTCTGTCTGAAACCCTTCCTAGCTGCCTCTTCCTTGTTTTTTGCTTTATTTAAAGAAACACTACACACAAGCTCACATTTTCTCCTGTCAATAAGCATGCCCTTGAATATCTCCCCCACTAAAATAATTTCTATTCAACTTAGCAATTCTCCTCCTAGAACATCTTTATGAAAATGAACGCACACACAAGATGAAGGCTCACTGTTAGAAAACCAGAAAGAGACTGGACAAAAGAGAAGAAATACTTTTGTCAGGTTATTTTTAAGTTGCAAAAGATTTTGGAATGGAAGCAGAATGAAAAGGAGCCCAGGTGGCAACATTAAAGGATGAATGATGTTGAATCCTGGGACAGTATGAAACAAAGTGGTATCTATTTCTGGTACACTTTCTACCTTGCTGTCCACCCCTCCTAGTCAGCTTCACTGAATCTGTATTTTTGGAAGTAACACTTCCTGTCAGTCAGTCACTGGTAGGAAGTGTTGCCTCTACATGGGACCAGCTCAGGTAGTTCATGTCAAATGTAATGTTGTAAGTATTTTTGTTATGCTTATTGCCACCAGGTGGCCAATGTGAGAATAGCTATTTACTGTTAGAAGCCCTAAGGCTATAGTGAGCATGCTCCAGGGCATTGTGGGTGGATGCAAGGAAGCTTTTTCCAAGATGCAGCCTGATTAATTTTCTATGTGAAACTTTACTCCAATAAAAGATCTCCTTTTTCACTTCTAATCTGTTTTGGGCCTCCATATACTATGTACAGAGTAGCAGAGCATGACACAATGACAGACCACTTGGCCTATTGAAGGAGAACAAAGAGAGAGGGAAGCAAAGAACTGATATTTTT